ACTTGGTTGTTCAGTTCATGGTTGATAACCCGTCTTTTTAGCCGACTTTACAAAGGATAATGTTTTTAACTCAATTTGACTGCAATTTTGTGGTTCCTCAGAATTTAGTTCCTGGTGAAACGATGTTTATATTTTATTGGAAAGTGAGTTTGACCTTGAATAGAGAGTTGTGTTTGTAGCAGGGCTCAGTACTGTGTGTATTATTGCAACCGTGGCGTGTTACGAGGGACCGGTACGGCCTCGACTATTGTCCGGCGTCCGGGCAGCATCCTATGCCTATTTTAGCAGCTAGTACCAACGGGAGCGTGCCGCCGCCGCAAACCACACACGTTCCGCGATCGTGGTTCTTATCCCTGCTCATTGTTACAACGGCACATATCACTGTACTCCTCAATTTGTGTGAATATTAATCGGATACCATTAGCGTAGCATTCTGCACTTTACGGTTTAAGAATATTAATACGGTTTAAGAATAATAAAAATTTACAATTCACTTATTTAAGGTAATTAACTAATACTAAACACAACATTTATGAAAGATTGCAAGCATACGAGAGTTTATTTAAAATATCATCTAAATGTAGGTAGTGTTGTAAACTTACTTACAAAACAAGACTAATTATTGAGTTGCATCGAAATATGTAAACTAGATGTGGCATGGAGTACATTCATTATTCATTAAGTTATTTAAGTTAAGTTCTTTGGATTTTGTTTGGATATATTTTTTTTCTAGCTTTTTGTCTTTTTTTACGTAATTTTATTTTCTCTATTTTTATACATATATGTTTTAATGAGTTAGATTTATTTTTTACTAATATTTGTTATTACAAGTGATATTTGTTATTTACTTTTTAGTTGTTATTATTTTTTTTTTATTAATATTGCTTTCTTTTTATATTATTTTACTATTTAGTGTCCCGATGTAATATAGTTATTTAAAGTATTTTTTTTTTATTTAAGTGGTAATGTCTTAGTCTCTTTTTAAAACTATGTAATGACTTGGCGTTTTTAATGTCTTCAGGTAATTAATTGTAGATTTGAACTCCTTCATATTCAATTGTTTTACTGCCATAGTTTGTTCTTGGCTTTCGAGATATTAGTTTGTTAGCATTTCGTAATTTAATTTTTTGAACTGTATCTTTTTTAGTAAATGCTATTTTTGTATGAATATTTTTATTAAGAATTTTTCGTATGAGTACTTTTGTATTGTTGATTTGTTTTTGTAAACCAGACTAATCATATACGAGGGTGAATCAAAAAGTTCTTAGAAGTGCATATATATGAAACCTTTTTGGATCAAGTTCGATATTCAAATTAAAGAGTGTCTATCACACTATATTTATGCACACTGTCACTTGTTTTTGTCAGTTCGTTCGCATGTAATAAATTTTTTAATAAAGATTCCAAGAATTTTTTGATTTACCCTCGTAGGTACGCCAATTGCTCCTGGAAAAGTCCAGTCTTTTTGCAGTAGTAGACAAGTGAGCAGCGATTGTCACTGGAAGGTTGACGTGTGTCTATCTACTCGTATTTTGACTTAGCAGTTGAGTTTTTCGGTTATGTATCGTTTTTAACATTTTGATAACTGTCCACGTTGTTGTTCCAAATAGTACAAGGTTGGTAATAATAAAGTCACAAATGCAAATGTTGATAAGGATTAATACAAAACACTGTAATAGTCGTTAGCGTATGACTTTTATGGCTTATGTTTGTGAGTAGCGCGATACGGAGTGTTATGGTCAGCGGCGCTCCAGAAAATTGATATTCCGAGTTGGGCGCGACTAAAACAATTACGAATGTGGTTCACAGTAGAGGCGAGCGGCGCCGGCGGTGGCGCTCAGCGTGACATGCCGTGTACAGAGTTTAATTCGCTATCCACTTAGGATCGGAAATCGAGCTGTTACCACTATTCAAATGAATAGGATATAAAACAGTCCGACTGTACATATTCTATTCTGCTTGAGAGCCAAGTGACGCGGCGCTCCTACCACAATGACAGCGCGGTGTGCCGGTTCAGTTGCACTATGCCCTCGCATATTGTTATTGTCCGCGACCTCGGCCGTTGTTGACTTTCAATGTGACGATGCCACGAAAGTCAGTTTTGTTGAATAACTCCCGTTATATTTATAAATAAATTCATTTATTTAAGTTTAAAGTTAAATAAATGAATTTATTTATTATTATTGTTTAGGTACATTTGTCAAATCGTCAATAGCTAATGTCAAAATGCCATGACATGACTAACCTTGGCAATTAGCTTCCTTGATGTTGGCAGAAACTTATGGTCTCTTTATGACATTAGGGTTTTTATCCAAAATATTTACACCCTAAGTTTAATGGCGTGAAAATATCTGGCCTAAAGCGTGACGTAAGTGTGGGCTTTTTAATAAAAAAAAGAATTATTCAAAAATATGCTGTAATTGCTGACATCTTAGGCAACAAAGAAATTTGTGTTTACGCTTTATTATAAAAGTAAAGATAAAGTAAAAGTATTATTGGCCATAAGTATCAGACCATAATTCAGATATAATGCTGTAAACTCCGACAGCGATGTGTTTATGTATATTCAAACGTTTATGTATTTGCGAATCAGTTCTTAGAATGTGCCAATAATATTTTCGATCGAATAAATTTTTTATGTGAATTCGTTGCCGACAAACGAAGCGGCCATTCTGAAAGTATTGCTTCTGATTAAACTCAGTAAAATGTGGATTGAATTATATTCGATCATGAACAAAACCAAAATAAATTGATGTGCATTAACTGAGTGGGCAGAACAGGGCAGGACAGGGCAGGACAGGGCAGGGCAGGGCAGGGCAGGGCAGGGCAGGGCAGGGCAGGACAGGGCAGGACAGGGCAGGCAGGGTGCTAGGGTGCAGTCAATTGTTTCTTTTAAGGACTTTTAACTAAAAATTATAGAAAGTATTTTATTAATTTCTAAATAATTGGAACTGTGGTTTGCAATAACATCGGCGATTTAGTATCGTGAGAACTATGATCTGCTATAAAACTAGGTTATTACGAAACTGATAAATAAATTTTATTTTAGTCTTTAACACGGATCAAATAACGACGAGAATAGTTTGTAGTTTATTTTTATTGTTTCAGCCGTCGGTGGCGCCGCGCCAGATGGAAAAATAATGTAACTCAAGAAATTGCCGGAACGAACGCGTTGTTAACAACTCCGCGTTATTCGGACATTTCTGAAATATACAACTAATTATTCCTAACAAAAATCGACTACAAATCCTAAAATGCATTATCATTTTCATTATTAATTGCAAGATTATACGATGGGTTCCCAGTTACAGAATACCCTGGACAAAAAGGCAATATACATATAAGCAAGTATATTGTTTCTCTGACAGCTACAGTACATGTTAAAAGAAATAATATACTACTCGTAGAAGAATGATACGTTACAGCCAACAGCTTATCCTCCCTTGTGGAGGACTTTACACTAGTTCTGTTTACTCTCCCGAGTAGCTAACAACAGGGGACATGTTAAATGAAAACGGTTAATATAAAAAAAATGTATTTATAATATTATATTAAAATTTGTATTTGCGATTTACAAAATTATTTACAAATATTTACAAAACTGAGCAGTTACAAACATTAATAATTTAATGCTGATATCGCTATATACAATTAACACTCAAACCAACGACGTTTTAAACATCTGTCGTGATTTCTCCATGCCGGCGGGCGCGGCGCTGGG